CAGGGCCTTACGAAGGGGTCTACCATGGCGGGGGTTTATACTCGTCAAAACACCGGATGAGGGTGTGTACTCATCGAGGCCTTACGAAGAAGGTCTACCAGGCGAAGGATTATACTCGTCAAAACACCAGATGAGGGTGTGTACTCATCAGGCCTTACAGAAGAGGGTCCACCAGGCAAAGGATTATACTCGTCAAAACACCAGATAGGGGTTGATACCTATCAAAAATATTTATCATCCGAAAGATCAGCCAATGAATATCTGAAGAATAACCGGGCAAAAGGGTTAACTCCTTCCCCTACCAGCTAATCTTATCGGCATATTAGGCCAATAAATTAGCTAGGCAGGTGAAGGGGGGGCATCTGTAGACCCCTAATTTTTCCCAGTTTCTCAAATAAAGACAAAAAGATCACCCATAACAAGATAAAGCTCGCCCAACATTTTAATGAAGGCCAAGAAGACTCCCTATATGAAGATAAAGCTTCAACGGACACACATCGGCATCAAACGACGTCCGAAAAAGGAAAGGAAAGCTTCCCGGGGGTCCCAAAACGCGAAGGCATGCCAAAACAGGTTGGGACAGCTGTCCCAAACACAATAGGCCGTCCCAAACACAACAGGTCGTCCGAAACACAACAGGTGGTCCCAAATACAACAGGTTGTCCCAAACACAACAGGCCGTCCCAAACACAACAGGCCATCCCAAACACAACAGGTGGTCCCAAACACAACAGGTGGTCCCAAATACAACAGGCCGTCCCAAATACAACAGGCCGTCCCAAACACAACAGGCCGTCCCAAACACAACAGGTGGTCCCAAACACAACAGGTGGTCCCAAATACAACGAGCCGTCCCAAACACAACAGCCGTCCCAAACACAACAGGTGGTCCCAAATACAACAGGCCGTCCCAACCTGCCGAGAATCAAGTGGGACGCGCGTCCGAAAGTGGGACGGCCGTCCCAAAGCCCAATTTAAATGGGACGGCCGTCCGGGTCCCCGTGTGGTCTCGCCCGTGTAAAATTGCCATTTGGGACGGCCATCCCGATCCGGACGGCGCGTCCCAAAGCGCGCCAGCTGCGA